ATATATATCTATATATATATATATATATATATATATATATATATTCCTTTATTCTCATCTACACTATATAGCTCAGTGTATTTAGCCATGCATTGTCTTTATTGTAAAGTCATTCATTTGTTTTTTTTGTAAATCTATTTTGCTTTTCAATATGCAGTTTTATGATATTTACAACAAGAGACGTCAACCTCATTTCATGTAATAAGCAACTCGTTTGGGCTTCAAAACCCACAGAAATGAATTTAAAAAGATTGCAGAAGAAGCGATTAGGTGTTTGTTCTAGAAATAGGCTGTAAATAACGACAACACTGGCACGGTGAAAAATGTCACTAGAATAATGCATTGAAACATAAGAAAAACCTTACCTGTTGCTTGTGTGCTAAATAGTCGCCTCACCTAATCAAAAGGAAACTGGAAGGTCATAGTCCAGAATGAAGTAGCCTGATATAAAACCAGGTGTACTTTTACTCCACCCCCTCTGTAAATAGATAACATGTGTTGTGACTTTATTATTCCTTTCCATTCAACTCAAATGAATGTTGGTGGCTTTTAGAGTTTAAGACTGTATGCACAATGTTCTACATCTGCCTAAAACTGTGATGTATGATTGTGCAGAGTATTTGTATTGATACAGAATATCAGGGCCATTGTAGGGTAAAAAAAAATATACGTAGCCGGGATAATACAATGCATACTGAACAACTTGGAGCTCAACGCTCGAAAGACAGTGGAGATGGTTGTGGATTTCCGGAAGATTGCAGCCCCACATGTCCCTATCACCCTGTGTGACTCTCCCGTCGACGCGGGGGAGTCCTTCCGCTTCCTGGGCTCCATCATAACCCAGGACCCCAAGTGGGAGCTGAACATCAGCTCCATCACTAAAAAGGCTCAACAGAGGATGTACTTCCTGAGGCAGCTGAAGAAATTCAACCTGCCAAAGACAATGATGGTGCTCTTCTACACAGCCATCATTGAGTCCATCCTCTGCTCCTCCATCACGCTCTGGTACACTGCAGCCACTGCCAAGGACAAGGGTAGGCTGCAGCGCATCATTCGCTCTGCCGAGAGGGTGATTGGCTGCAATCTGCCGTCCCTCCAGGACTTGTTCGCTTCAAGGACCCTGAAGCGAGCAAGGAGGATTGTAGCCGACCCCTGTCACCCTGGACACAAACTGTTTGTGCCCCTTCCATCGGGCAGGAGGCTGCGATCCATCAGGACCAAGACCTCACGACACAGGAACAGCTTCTTCCCGTCCGCAGTCGGGCCCATTAACAGAGCCCGGGTCCCCCACTGACTCTGTCATCCCCAGGACAATTTCCCACCGGTCACTCCCCTGCATCCCTTCTATTACACTCGACACTTTACACTACACTTACATCTCGCTGGTTTATAGTCCTGTCGTCTGTTCGTTGTTTATAGTCCTGTTATCTGTTCGTTTGTGCACTTTATTTTATATTTCACTTTATTTTATATTTCACTTTATTTTATATTTCATCTTTATTTTATATTTCATCTTTATTTTATATCTTACTTTATTTCATATTTCATATCTCTTGTAAATTTTAATATGTTTCTACTTGCACTGATTGTTGATTGTTGTTGATTGTTGAATGTTTGCACCTCCCTTCACGCCAAATTCCTTGTATGTTCAACATACCATGGCAATAAACGGTTCTGATTCTGATGTCGATGTCAGCATTTCTTTGCACTTTCTCTCCGTCCGTTTATTTATGAGCTGTTGTAAATGTTCAAACTGAACTCTGGACCTGCTAACTGCTGAATAGTTGTATACAACACTAACCAAGGAAGCTGTGTCAGTAGACATCTGAACGTTTGTTCTGTTTTCCTACAAAACATGAATCTGCCTGGATAGACTGAACCAATTCAATGGAGGATTTCTAATAAGGATGGCTACTATAATGACTTATTATTATTATTTATGAATTTTATGACTTTTTTTAACTTCAGTCCTAAATATATCCTAGTGTCCAATAAACATAGAGTAGAATTTGATGTGTTCACCAGAGTTATGTGCTTTAAATATCAAGTCCTCTGTCGCCGCCTGTTGAGATTTTACTTTCTTTTGTTCTTGTGTTAAACTCACAGCAGCTCTGTCTGTCAGAAACTTGCTGTTTCCTCAGCAGCAGAGAAACGGGAAGAGGAGGAGGTTCTGACTTACGTGATATTTTAAAAGCTGACTGTCTGATGTTCAGACAGTCGGTAGCAAGACATCATGGAGGTCACAGCTCTCTGCATCACACTGAGTGAGTAAATGTCTAATGTTCACGGAAATCTATTGATA